ACCCGCCATAAACAGATCTCATATCCATCACATTCCTGATATTGGACAAATTTATGCCCAGTCCGTTCATGTAAGTTTTGTTCACAACTCTTTTCCAATGTTCATAGTCTGTTGAGAAGTCTTGAGGAGCTGGTTTGCCATAAATCCCCATTTGGGAGCTGTTTAGCCAGTAAGGAGGTGCTTGCAATCGCTGAGGCCAGTGTTTTGGCCAGCTGCTTCCCCTCACGTCTTTGTCAACCGGCACACGGTGCATACACGCTTGCAAAGGCACGTACCTGAAAACAGAAGCCAAGTTCGAGATATCCCATCAGCTAAAAGCATTGAAGGACGTCGAGATAGAGATATCCCCAATACTTACCAAGCTGCATTTGGATCATCATCGTTTTTGCACATGGGAGGACGCTTGTGTTTTCTTTGATCATAGCATTCATTTGTCCTCGGTTTCCTGTATACGGCAGCCCCAACAGAGTTCAGCTTGTCTTTCTGAATCGTCACAAGCTCCCAACACATGGAGGTCGTCAAAGCAGACATTTCTGGTGGAAAAAGTATGCATTGTGAGCCGATTCGGTGAATATTCTAATTGTTTATTAGAATGTTATCTTTTTGATCTGCAGTAAACTTACCCTTCCAAATCTCAACGTCTTCTTCCAGCGTCTGGTACACTGGAGTCGCAGACCAAACGAAATATCCCCCGGGCCTCAGCACACGGTTCAATTCCAAGAGAAGCATCCCACCTACATCGGGAACCAAAAACGGGTCTCTCCTTTTCCTAATTATATATAAAGCTGTAAAAACTAAGAAGAAAAAATAGAAAATTCCATGATTGATTAATGATTATGATAACCTTCTACATGCCAGGGCACTCTACATCTAGCACAGTGAATAACATCAAAAACCATGCTTGGAAACGGCAGTCGCTGGGAGCCCATGACGGCAGAAATGGCCGGAATTCCCCGCTCAAGCGCGAATTGTACTTGGGCTTCATGCTCGTCTTTTGGGGCAAACGACATTGTGAGGACATCTTTCTCGAATAGAAAGCCGCCGAAGCTGGCCACTCCGCAGCCTACGTCCAGTATCACTCGTGTCCGCTTCCCCCATTTAATATCCGGTACCGACTGCACCCATTACCGTCAGTCTTAATCAGTTGAATTCTAAAAGGGAATTGAACAAACCCAACTTGGGGGGTTTTCTATATATTTTGTTTTACCTGTTGAAGAAAATCAATGTAGTGGAGAGCGCCGTGGATGAACTGGGTGCCACCGCCGGGAAAAGTCAAAAACTCGCCGGTGACCTTGACCCAGTTCTGGTGGCCTTTCACTTCGGCCAGCTTTGTGTGCGGTACGTTGTGGTACCAGATCTGTGGCACACAGCTCATTATAATTATAATTATAATAATCTTCACCGTAGGATTAAGATTCACAAATCACAATGTTGCATGTACGCACCTTGTCCCTACTTTGGGGCCATTGGATGGATCTTTTGTAGCCCTCCGGAAGTGCGACGACGCAGGTGGGTCCCTCCTCGGGGCAATGCCTCTCCCTGTGCTCGAAGTGCTTCGTGGTTCGCAGCTGCTTCAGTGCTTTCTCGTTGTCC